GTGTGGTCCCCAGTGTGTTTTTAGGGCAAGAAAATGGTGCTTTTGGTAGGATTTCAAGGTGTTTCATGCAGTTTCCAAGGGCACCACCCTTAGTGGCCCGTGTATGACCTGAGTAGATGGAGCTCACAACTACCTTCCTTAAAAATTTAGACAATAAATGGTCACCACAACCCTATCAAACTTTGGCGCGAGCCCACAAAATTGTGAAAAAAAATTGGAATTTTTTCGATAAATTTGTTTTGGTCATAACTTCCAAAGTGTGTAAGATTTGAATGATTTTTGGACCATAAAAGATTAGAACCTCCTCCATGAATCCCAATTTGTGTTAGGACCGAATAATGACTTGTCTCATCCTTGATGGGGCTCTACCTCACCCCGGTTTGTATGACGACCATGCTCCAATTGCATACGAGAAAAGTCCTAGGATTGAGTTACAGTGGTGTCAAGGCCTTGAAAGCCCATACATATCTAACAAAGTCCGCCCAACTAGTAGGATTGAGTTACGGTGGTGTCAAGGCCTTGAAAGGCTATATACATACCTAACAACGTCCACCCACCGTGCTCTAATGCACTTTGGGACCACAATGAAGCACCCAAAACATGCCAAGATTGTGCTCCACATTATTCATTTAACAAAGCTAAAACCCTCCCCCTGGCACAAAGTGCAAGAACATGTCATTTCCCATGAGCATTTCGGACACACTGAGCATGCAGAGGCATGACCCTTGCGCACTCTGCAACTGTTGGCAACTCGAAGTCCTGATACTACCTGCTTAGACACGGGATCGCAACATTAAACTGACCTAGATGAAGAAGGGATAATCCATGCACTGTGTTGAACATGGCAATCAGACCCGAAAACCAAACCTCGATCAAGATGCTTGAATACCAATGTCGGACACCGTAGGATCCCCCAAAGCAACCAAAATGAAAACAAAGACAAAAAGTATGAGGTTAATATAGGGATTGCATGCCCCTATCTATGGGCAGAACTCCTTTTTGGTGCCCCGCATCCTTAGAATCATGAGGTTATCCTTCACAGCGTAAATCTTGAGCCTTTATGGATAGTTTGAGTTGATTTGGCAAATTCAATATATTTTTTGAGGTTTTTTAAGTCTTATTAGTGATATTCTTTCAAACAGTAACAATGCAGTAAATGGGGACATCAAAATTCCCTATAAATTCCATTTTGTCTGGGAGCAACGTTTACTGGTTCCAATGGCATCAGCCTGGCCGTCAATTGTTGATATTTTACAAGATAGATACTGATAAAGCACCTTTTTTTTTTTTTTATTAGGTTGTAGTTTGTATAAGGTTGCAATCTTAAACAATCAGTAAAGGACACCTTCAAATTTTAGTCTAAGATGTAATTTTAGAGTAAAAAAATCTATTTCATCTCTTATTATAAAATTTTGAAATAAAAAGAAAATGGGTCCAAATCAATTAGGTCTATAAACACATGAAAATATTGAAAATAGACAGATCAAATAATGTTTTGCAAGATGCACTATTTTGGAATTCAAACTATATAGGGAAAAGTTTATATAGCGCCTAGGCTGTAAACAATCAAATTATAGCCTACCTAAAAAAATTCATTAGAAAAAGTTGTTTTGATGCCTAAATATCCTCAAATTGATCATCTCGGCATCAAGATGCATGGATTTCAAAAAAAAATTAATTTTATGTTTTGAAAATAGTGCATCTTGTAATGCATTTTTGGGCAATCAATTTTTCAATTATTTAAGCTTTCATAGATCTGCTCGATCAACACTATTTTTCAAGCTTTAAATTTTATAATTAAATGTGAAAATATATTCTTAGGGCTGGTTAGAAATTTCCAATATTGAAACCACATCTCTCAACAATTTTTGAAGGTGGGCTCTAATTTGATTGTTTAGAGCTTCGGCTTTATACAAACCGCATCCAAAAATATATGTATTTTTTTCCATAGACCTTGATGTTGAGATGATCAGTTAGATGTTTTTCCAACATAAAAAACAACCTTTTCCAATAAATTTGTGGTGCATTTTAATTCTACCATTTAACGCTACAACTTTATATAATTTTTTTCCTTTTTATTGTTCATTTATTTATTAAGCCCAAATACTTAGAAACCATAATTTTTACTAAAAATTAGAATAAAATATTTGAAATAAAATAAAACACTAGGAAAAATTACGTAAATATCCATTATATTTTTTATTCTTACGAAAATTCCTGAAACTTTCCGTTATTATACAGATATCCATTTTTCAACTTCATAACACTTTTTTTTTTTTTTTTAAAAAAAAAAGACAAAACCACCCATTTTCGGTTTTTGAAAAGCCGAAAGTTTTTTAATTTTCGATTTTTCAAAAACTGAAATTTCTTTTAATTTCAATTTTTGAAAAAGCAAATTTATATATTCTTTTTTAGTTGAGGCCAAATGAAAATTCATAATTTTCGAATTTTAAAAATCTGAATTTAAGGATGAGTGAGAGAGAAAATCAACCCAAGTTCTTGAGGCGATGTTTACTGGAAAAACTCTCCCCTTTAAAGCTTGGAGAAAAATATTCGCCTTTATGTACTGTTGTTTCCTAAGAAAACTCCCCCGTTGGTGTCCTAAGCTGGTAAGGAAGCTTTATTGCATGGGAAAGTGGTGAGAGAAAATGAGATCATAAAAACTCTCCCATACGTTACAAAATACCCTCTCTCTCTCTTCTCTCAATTTTCTCTCTCTTAAGACCTGTTCGCATAAAAACCCTCTTTCCCTGCTCTTTACGGAAGACACACTCTCTCGCTCTCTGTGTAATTTAATTTTCAGTTTCTGAAAAACCGTAACTTTGAATATTTTGATTTTTGAAATATCGAAAAAAGGATAAATCTGTTTTTCTGAAAATAAAATATTATGAAGTTGAAAAAAAAATTGGTTTCTAAACGACCAAAAATTAAAATAAAAAAATAAAAAAAAAATTGGTTTTTGCAAAAACCGAAAATGGGGAATTTTGACTTTTTTTAAATAGTGTTACGAAGTTAAAAAAATGAATATCTGTATAATAACGAAAAATTTCTGATATTTTTGTAAGAACAAGAAATATAATGTATAGTTATATAATTTTCCTAAAACTATCTAGGTGGACCAGCTTATAGAAGAGTTTAGACCGCATGGCCTTGATTGAAATAAAATGGGCATCATTTAGATGGCCGACAATGTGCCAATCATTTAAAGGTGTAGTTGGCATACGGATGCATCCGTAATGTAGAGGTAAGGTGTACCTTCAAATTTTATCAGGGTATATAATTTTGAGGTAAAATGTTCTTAGGATTATCTCAAAATCTATTTTTATATTTAATTATAAAATTTTAAATTTCAAAAATGGTAAAATCAAGTAGATCTATAAACATATGAAAATCTTGAAAATAGACGGTATAGATAATATGTTGTAAAATGCACAATTTTTGAGACTTCAAATCTTTTTATTTTTTATGGTCATACATCTTGATGTTGAGATGATCAATCAAAGGGTTTTTTGACATTAAAACTACCTTTTTTTATGGATTTTTATGGATTTTTGAGGTGCCTCCGTAGTTCTACATTATAAGGTTGCATCATTATATAAACATTTTCCATTATTTAATTTAATTTTTCATTTTATTTGAACCACCAAAATAAGTTCTACATGTATAAAATTTGGGGCCACCCTTACTTTTTTAGGAAAAATAAAATATTAAAAGGGAACATAGATTTTATCTTCAGCCTCTTTCCTTCAGCATCGCCCATACGACCTTTGTATGGCTGATGCGCTTATATATTATTTTCCCGAAGGACAGAATATCTCGTGACCTAATAGGGCAACGAAATAGTATTGGTCAAACTTCCTACAGTATAAGCTCACCCAAATGAGTAGGCATCATCAATGTTGTCAGATTCGCTTCGCTTAATTTAAATTGGCTGGTGTCTTCAAATTTTCAGCCTAGACCAAATTTGGTGCATTTGCTTCAGCCTGTTTTAGGTGTTTATGGCCCTGTTCTGTTTGATTCGGCCTCTTTAACTGAAGTACAAAATTGTCTTTTCGTTTTTTTTTTTTTAATACTTTTAGTTTTTGATTTTTTCCGACCAAACTGAAGAGGCTCTAGCGGATCTCACAATGATGGGCAGCATTGTTTGTTAGCATTTCATCTTCTTCTTTTTTTCTCTTAGAAACAAATATGATTCCAATGACCCTAAAATTTAACATGCTTGTAAGCCTCATCTTTGCAATGCAAATAAAAATTAAAAAATTAAAAATGATGCACGCAAAACTATGGGGTAAAAAATTTGTCAACTTTTCTCGACCATCCAAATTGACTCCCTCCTTCAATCTGAATCATTTAGCGCAAACGGTGTTATGGGCTGGTCGGCTCACATAATCAACTTCCCTTTCATTACCTGATTTGGAAGTGATCGTAGGGTCTTGTGTAGAAGTGACTAAAGGATGGCAGTGGGGATGGCCCTGGCTGGGCCAGCCTAGCCCTAGTCCCCATAGGGCCGGACCGGGCCAAGCCAAAAATAAATAAATAAATAAAAAAACAAGAAATGATGGCCAGGCTGGACTGAACCATGCCGGCACAGCCTTAGCACGGCCCTCAGGGCACAGTTCATGGTCCAGACCCTAACTTTTTTGAGCTAGGCACAGGGCCAGGTGGTCATTTACCCCTTGAATGACACTCACTTGCTCATTTTTTGCCAGCCCTAGAATGACACTCACTTGCTCATTTTTTGCCAGCCCTAGAATGACACTCGCTCATTTACCCCTTGAAAACGAAACATGTATTGGATTTTGGTGTCACGGTCCATTTCCACACTCAAATGTACCATATTGTACAACCCCATAAAAAAAAAATAGAACAAAATGCTATACCTAATTTAATAAGAGTATAAAATTCAATAGTATAAGGTTGCAATCTTGAACAATTTTTTTTCCTAAGAAAAGAGAATTGCCACATGGACATCAATCAACACAGTCCATCAAGCATACAAAGAACAACACAATCCTCATGCCTTCCATTTAAAATGGCGACTCTTATATTACTAAAATTTATTCTCCTACAACGGGGAAAAGGAAAAAGAAAGAAAATTTGTAAAGGAGTGAAGCACACATAACAAAGCCTCAGCCCCATGAGGGCTTTAAAGCTTTATTTAATCAGGTACACAACTTAGATTACTGGATACATACAAGGCAAGAACTACATGCATGCATAAGAAGCACATTCTCAAATTCCCTTAACCTCAAACTAAACAGTGATTTAACACTTGGGAAATGGAGATTTGCAGGTCTGGGCCACCTTCTTTGCGTTATCAGAGTTGACAATGCTACGAAATTGAGGATTAGCAATGTATTGGCACAAGCATGGTTGCTGCTCCTTTAGCCTGGAGCAACAGGTGGGAGAAGGGGCCTGAGCCTTGTAGATTGCACCAATACATGGGCTTAGATATGACACATTGCAAGTCACTGAATAGCAAGGTAAGAAATTGCCTACAAGCACTACTAGTGCCAAGATCAGGACAGAAAAAGAAGAACACTTCATCATTCTAGAGAGAGAGGAGGAAGGGTTGTTCTATATGGTGCTTTTGCTCACATTCATGTGGTAGTTTTGGGTCACAATTTATAGAGGGAGGGGGAGTGATGGGAAAGGAATTAAAGAAGGGTGAGGTCTGTATAAGTCTAAGGCCTTAAACAATCAAAGTAAGGTGCAGCTTTAAATAGTACCGAACAATATCGTTTTAGTACCGAAAATCTTTATGATGGCCACAAAAAAAAATTTCATCTCTAATTATAAAATTTAGAGTGATTTATGTACGGATCCTAAAATTTTAAGTAAAATACAAAATGCTTTGTTTATAGGCAGAAATTATAAAGAAAGTCGTTCAATCCAATTTATTTTTTTTAAATTGCCTTTCGGTCAACTTAAAATTTGATTTTTCTTTTCAGCTTTTTTTAGTTTTTTCGTTACTAAGGCAGTGCCCCAAGATTTAAAGCATTGCCTTACTTACTAACGAAAAAACTTAAAAAAACTAAAAAAAATCAAAATTCCGGTTGACCAAAGGGTAATTTTGAAAAAATAGAAAAAAGCGGGTTGACCGACCTACTTTGTGATTCCTACATATAAATGGAGCATTTTCTTATTTTACCTAAAATTTTATGGTCTTTACGTAAATCACTCTAAAATTTAATATTTCAAAAATAATATAGATCATGCGGATCAATGAATAATAGAAAATCTTGAAAACGGATGGTCTAGATAATGCATTACAAGATGTACTATTTCCAAGATTTGAACTTGTTTTTCAAGGTCGAGATGATTGAGCATTAAAACAATTTCTTCTGGTAAAATTTTTAGTTGCATCTTAATTTGATTCTATAGGGCCTCAGCCCCATATAAACATTTTCATTAAAGAAACAATCCCAAGGATTACAACTTGGAACTTAAAGTGGGATTTACACAAAAGGAGCTCCTTTTCCTGCGGACGTGGTCTACATAACATCTCAATCCGAGGTTTTGAGTTTCTCAAAAGATTCTGTGATCCGCATTTTGGTGATTCATTCCCTCAGGTAAAACTCTATCTTTGTCTTTCCTCTTTGACCCAAAATTTTTCATCCGGATTGTTCAATTCTTCGATGGACAGCAAAAAGATTTTTTTGGCAATAAGATGCCCACCCTCGTTTTTGATATATAATTTCAAATAAATCATCAGGTCCATGAAAAGGCTATGGCAAATCAAAGATGGATCCTTCTCTCTACTTTTTTTTTTTTCTTCTCATTCCTAATTACACGTAGGATCATTTTATTTTCTTAATGACTATCTTATCAAACAAAAAATTAGGAATTACAAATGGGAGAGAAACTGCCAGAACCTTACCCGCCATCTCTCCCCTGTGAACCCACTCTCTTCATCTCCATTGTCAATCCCCTCATGCCATTTACAAATCTGCATCTCTTTACTCGAACTTTGTGAATCTTGCGACAAATATCTTTCATAACTTGATTTATACTATTTTTAATTTGTTGATTCACAAACTTCATATGGGTGGTTTTTGGTGGTATTGTGATGGATAGATCTTCTATGTTCTGATATTAATTGATGAAAAAAAAGAAAAAATAGATTAAATAATTAAAAAATTAAAAGGAAATGGATTCTAAGTTATACCCACTCAGAGGGAATCCACCGATTTTTTACAAAATCCAAATAAATTTTTTTCTCTTTTCCCAAAAAAAATAAAAAAAAACAAATACCTTAAAAAAATATTAAAACTTAAAATAACCCAAGCTTCAACTTCAATCATTTAAAAATTATTAAAATAAAGAAAAACTAATTCATGGAAGAGAGAATATGCATTGATTGGGGAGTTTGAGGGAAAAGAGTGAGGGTTAATTGGAGAGAGTAGGCTGAGGAGGTTTCGTCTTTTCAATCCTTGATTTTTGAAGTAAGAGAGTGTCATTTAGTAAAACAAATGGACCCTGTTTGTGGTTGATTAATGCCGACTAAAGGGGGTCCCATATTTTCGGTGCGTTGGTCCTTTGGGGAAATGGATTGTCATTATTTTGTCTTTTAGTATTTTGGTAATACTCATGTGGTAATTTCTAGCGTTAATCCCAAAATTTCATACTAAAAAGAAAATCTCATGTATAAGATCTTTTATAGCACATCATCTCATGATAAGAGTCTTTCTTACCTATTTGGAGGTGACTGTAAAATCCTGGTATGTAAATTTTATTACGTCGAGAATCATATTTTCAGTGAAGTCATAAGTTTCATTTAATTTTATTTTGTATAATTTTTTTAAAATTTTTTATTTTATTTTTAAAAATCTATATATATTTTTACATATTTTTACTTTATTTTTTCATTGACACTTTGTGTCTTTTTTTAGATTTTTTATAACAAAAATACCATTTATGTTTCTCTCTATGCAACTCCTTTCATCTCCATCTCTATCTCTCTACAGCTCATGTGACCCCTTGGCTCTTACATTTGAAGCGGCAATACACCACATTTCCTCCATGAAACACTTTTTACGTTTTCTTAAATCACTATACTTCTCTCTCTCTACGCCACCAATAGGCAACAGCATAAATGGGGAAGAGAAAGGATACTTTTGTCACAAAAAATTTGAAAAAAAAGAGTTTTGTTATCAAGAAAAAAAAAAAAAAGTTCTAGGGAAATCTGTGTAGGAGAAAATTCAACACGATGTACTGATCTAGTCCATAAGGGGGATTAGTAATATTAGCCTTTTACATCACAGCTTTATCATTCTTGAGCAATTGTTTTGAGAAAAGGTTAAAGTCGTGGTGGTAGCACCTCCCACCCTATTCACCCCATTGGGGTTTCTTTTCCCACCATTAACATCACATCTTTAATGCATTCAAAAAGCTACTTCCTAGTCTATTTGAAAAAAGGATAGAGGTATGTCTGTAAGTTTTTTCCACTGAATTATTCAAAAAAAAAAAATTTAATAAATAAAATAAAATAAAATAAATAAATAAATTCAATCATGTCTTATCCCAACATATTATATGTCTTTCCAAAAACTTTACACACGCGCTCTCTTGTATTTTTGCCGTCCCAACGTCGTGAGTCATGCATGACAGGAGAGAAATTCCTCTTTCGACAATGGTCGGTGCAACGAATCATTCTTGTGAAAAGGGACCCATGCTTAATCTTTGTGAATTTGTTGAACTGAAATCATGAGCACCACTACGACTTATCCATGCCCATCATTCTCCAATACATCCCACTACAACAATAATGAAGTACCCCACATGACTGACTGATTTAGTGTTTGACACAATGGGATCTCATCATTTACTTTCCAATATGGGATAATGATGTATTTCCTACATTTTTAATGATGCTTCCAATGTTTTATGGACACGGTTTTGATGAGTAGGCCGACTCGCCTATTACCATGCGGTCCTTTGTCTATCTGACGTCTATTTCTAAGATGGATGTTAAAAAATGTTAAAAGTTAAAATAAACGGCAAAAAAAAGGAAGTACAAAAAAAATATTTCTATTAAAAAAAAAAAACTTCAAATTTAGGTCATTGTCGGTTGAGATTATTGAACTCTATAGCTTTTTATCGAAAATGCATCTTTGGCCTATATATTATAGGGAGATCGCACAATAATAGTGTGAGTCGACTCACCAAACACTTTTCCTTGTTTTTATATGCTTTGGGATCAAGAATGGATAAACACTTTGACCAGGCCACTCATCTATGGTAGTCGAATACACCAACGTAAAAGTAACGGTTGTTACTGCAGAAATAACGGCCGTTATGCAATAAAGAGATCTAGCCTGGGACATTGTATAATGGGAATCAATGTAAAAAACACATATATAGATGAGTTAGGCGTCAAACAATAAAGTAAGGGCTAACCCTAAATTGTGCCGACAAATGAAGGCCGAAAAACCTTGCAATGGAATGAAGATCTATTCTAATTTTTAGTTATGAAATTTAAAGCTTCAAAAGTCATGCAGATTGGGCAATTCTACAAATAAATGAAAATTTTGTAAATGGATAGTTTAGACGTGATGCACTATTTTATGACGTGAAATTCTTTTTTTTATTTTTTTTATATCTATATATCTTAAGATCGGAATGATTAATTTGAAGATTTTCTCGCATCGAAACAAACATTTTTAGTGGGTTTTAAGACGTGCCTTACGTAGATTAAGGTAGACACCTTATATCAACTTTTTCAAAAACACAGCCTATACTAAATAAAGGGTGCTATTTTATATATATAGGTAGTTGTTAGCAATGGCTTAATTGCCGTTATAATCATTTACAATTTTCAATATAGAATAGTATCGGAAAATAAGAACGACAACTTTGATAAAGGAAATAATGAACTTTATAAAGGGAAAATGCTATTCACCAAAAAATAAAATGTCCCGTTATAGCCCTGATAATGGTGGTCATAAGGGAAATAGACCATCCCTGTGAAGTTATATGGGGGTAAAACCCGGGGGATTGAAACACTAACCACACTAAATAATAAACTTTACTTCCTAGAGAATGTCCATTATGCACTAGGCTATTTAATTATAGCATGTCAAAAGTTTTAATAATATAACAATGTGGAGAAATGAACATAATAAGTACTATAATGGGAACAATGAAAATTTATAAAGAAGAAAAGCCGTTCATTCAAAGAAATGAAACAAGCTGAACATATTTTCTAAATATATAACTCATGTCCTTCTCGATTTCTCCCCCGTTTTACTTGTGTTTCCCTTTTTTTTATTTATTAAAAACCTTTTCTTCCTTTTATAATGGTTGTTACTCTCTTAAAATATAAACATGCCAGCTCCATGTTAATTGCATTATGGATTTCTTTTAAATATTGGCAAACAGTTGTTTGGTTTGGAAAAGTTTGTTTTGTTTTCTAACCCCATGATATGTTTAAACATTAAAGCAAACGGTTTGTGTATATGTGTGGAGGTTTCTAGAAAGGTTTTAGAGTTTGTATAATGTGCAATTAACCATTTAGTTTATGTGGCATGATTTCATTATCCCACATATACTTATAAAATAAAGGGAATTTTTAAAATTTGCTTTTTGCTGGAATATTTTTCAAATTACCATAAGGCCCTTCATCTTAGTTTTGGTTTTATTAAATGTAAAGAGTATAGATATTTTAGTAACAAGTGT